CACACACACACACACACACACACACACACACACACACACACACACACGTTCTAAAATAAACCCAAGCAAACAAGAAGCCCAGCCCTGCCTTCAGACCGTCACACTTCTCTGGAGCCGTGTGAGGCAATGGGCCATAATGGAAACTGGTTTGTTTGTGTGAGACCACCTCCTCATATCGGTCAAATCAACATATTTTCCTCGGTTACTGAAGGGCCCTGCCATGTTCTTTAAAGTACCAGACAGTAAAGAGACGGTCTGTTTCAGAGCCTATCAAACCTTAAAGCTTAGTTACAAAAATAACCGGTGGTCCATTTGATGCTGGTGCTGGCCCGTGGTGCGCTGCCACTCGACACCCGTGGCTTGTTCTGATGTGAGCAATCATGCTGGACCTGGTGTTGCTGCTTAGTTTGGACACACTGACTTCTGTGTCTATTTTGGTATGTTCTCAGCTCAGACTGGCCACACCAGTGAACAAGGATCCAAGAGCTCACTTAGGTGAGTTCCTTTTCATTCATTTTCTTTCATTCAGGCAGCAACTTTAAGAAACTGTTTCAACTGACACTTTTAACTGTCTTCATCTCACTTTAGATTCTTGTTTCTATATTTAGGATCAGTCCAAACCGAGCTCGTCCTGAGCATGTAGCACTCATCACTACGGTAAGAAAACTGACATTTAAAAGACTGGATTGAGAGAAGGAAAGTTTCTGAAGGTTTTGTGTCTAAGAAGGACTTTTTGCATCTATGTTTTTCTTATTTTTATAAAACTATACAGAAAATATAGAGTTGTGTTGTTGTGTCATATTCTCTTTAATCTTAAAAGAAAGTAAAACGTTAAACTTGAGTATTTGAACTTCTACATAACGCCACCTCAGTTCTTGAATATAAATACACGAGCAGATGCTGGGAAAGTACCGGAGCTGCTAACTGATCTCTGGTTATGAGAGCTAGAAATAAGTTGGCGAACAAAGTGTCTTGAAAAGCCAAAACTGTGACCCAGTTTACATGAAGATACAGTAAAGTCAAACCAGTTTCCTGACAAGGTTTAAAAGTTATATTTAAAAATATACACATTATTACCAAGAGAGGAACTTGTCTTCCTGGCAAACTGTTGTTATCCTGCAGTCCTAAACTGTGAATACAGATATTTCTATACTCTAAGAATGCTTTCAAAATATAATTTAATGTGCATTTAAACACAATGATTTATAAAATGCTCACATTTGTTTCGATCAACTTGAATTTCTTCTCCTTGGACTGAAGTTGTGAGTGTGGCTGTGTGACAGGGTGTGACCTTATGAAGTGGTTATTCTGAGAGCTCACAGTCAGTTAACGAATAAGTAAACTACAGCGCCGCAGCCGACCGCTCATTTTATGTGTTTTAAAGGGATCCAGGATTAGTTGTAACTTTAGACTTTATTTGATAAACATTTATTTTAACTGTAAAATAAAGACTGTAAAAATACTGTAGGATGTTTAGTTTTGTAAATTAAAAAATATATATTTTAACACGGACGGAGCCATTTTATTTKCACACAAAGCATTCTGGGTAAATGATGACGTGGATAGGTCCTCGGTGTGAGGCTGCTAGCGAGCTATATCCACCCTGAAGGTTAATCTTGGACAATATCTGATGATCGACTCTTTAAAATGAAACCAGAGAGCGTTGACAGAGAGGAGAAGGTAGAAATGACTCAGCCTGGAACTGAAAATATGGATGGAGGACAAAAGAGCTGCTTCATGGAAGAAGAAACTCAACTTAGCCTGTTAGCTTTAGCATTAGCCCCGATGCTATCACCATATATATTAGCTCAGCGCTACACATTCTCCTCTCATCACTGAGGTCCTCCATCCACATGACAGAGAGGGGAACACAAAAATGACTCAGCCTGTAACTGAAAATATGGATGGAGGACCTCAGTTTAGCTTGTTTGTTGTGCTAGCGCTGAGCTAATACATATAAGACAATATAGCATCAGCGCTAGCACAAAAGCTAACAGGCTAATCTGAGGTTGTTCTTCCATGAAGCAGCTCTGTTGTCCTCCATCCATATTTTCAGTTCCAGGCTGAGTCATTTCTACCTTCTCCTCTCTGTCAACGCTCTCTGGTTTCATTTTAAAGAGTCGATCATCAGATATTGTCCAAGATTAACCTTCAGGGTGGATATAGCTCGCTAGCAGCCTCGCACCGAGGACCTATCTACGTCATCATTTACCCAGAATGCTTTGTGTGTAAATAAAATGGCTCCGTCCATGTAATATATTTATAAACTTTTAGTTTAAAAATGAAAAAAACTAAACATCCTACAGTATTTTTACAGTCTTTATTTTACAGTTAAAATAAATGTTTATCAAATAAAGTCTGTTACAACTAATCAGGGATCCCTTTAATCACTCAAAAACTCACCAGATTTGGAAATAATTTTGAAGAACTCTGTTCATGTGACTCTGCTTGGTGTAAAATAATTACTGTGGTTGTTGAGAAGTTTAGTTTGAAAATCAAACTTTTGCAGCTGTGTTTTTCATATTGCTGTCATGGTCTGCTGAAGGCTGAAGGACAATGTTCCTGTGAAACTGTCAGAATGTAATCAATGAAGGAACATTTAAAGTCAACCCAGTTAAAGATGGCTGCCAAAGCTAACTGAGCAGAGAAAACACAACAGTGGCTATGTTACTCAATTTTAAATATTGTGATGAAACTGAGTGGTAGCAGCTAAACATTATCCCTAAAACACACTCCTATCATGAGCCGCAGTTCAAATTTTAAGAGGAATCATCTGATGTGTTCACAGCTGAATAACCTTTTTCCTCACACATTTCATGATGGCTGCCACAGCTAATTAACATTAGTAAACACAAAAACCAAACAGCTCAATTAAAAAACAATCAGCTAAAATTAGTTGTGACAGTGGCCTGAGAGTCATTCACAAGGTTTGTAAATGGGCTGAAAGTTTGTGCAAAATTTCCTAAAATCTTCCATGGGAAGTTAAACTGGTGACTTATGGAAATAACCCAGTGGTAAACTTCAAAATGAAAACTTTCCATAATCATGTGATTTTATTGGAAATAACATCAGATTAGGTGTAATTTAATCAAACTGCATCATATTCAGATTGCACAACGGTTCAGTGGTTAGCACCAACGCCTCCCACCCCGGTTCAGACCTGGGGTCTCTGTGTGGAGTTTGCATGTTCTCCTCGTGCTTAGGTGGGTTTTCTCTGGTACTCCGGTTTCTCCCACAACACAAACACATGTACAACAGGTTGTCTTCAGGCCCAGGCCTCCTTTGAAGAAGAGTTCTGAGATCTCAGTGGGACTTGCCTGGTTAAATAATGGTAAATGAAACTATAGAAATTGTTATTTTGCCATAAAGGAAAATAACATTAGACCCAAAGTTTATGGAAGCAACAAAGTGAATAACCTAATTTGCATTATCAGTGATGACATCACCGTGTTAAATGGTGCAACTTTTAGAGTACAACAAATTTTGAACCATTTTACACTTCTTGTAAACATTTTCTAAATTTGTACAAATAACAGAAAAAAGCCGTAGGTACATGATAATTATTGTGTTGCCATGCAGCAGTTAGCATGTGGCCAGCAATCAGCTAATTCTGAGCAGCATTGTTGTGAGAGACAGACTATTAGAGTCAGATTATATACAGCCTGCAATGTTTTGTCTTTAACTGTTTAAATGTGCATACGTATTATTATTATTATTATTATTATTATTATTATTATTATTATTATTATTATTATTTATTATTGATATTTGGTGTATGTCAATATAAATGGATCATCTTTTAAAGTAGGCTATTTATGAAATGACAAAGAACACACTGGTTGTGTGTTGGGAGACTGATTTTTTTACTGTGTTCCTGAACACAACATACAGTAACTCCTTCCACAGCCAAGGTGCAGAGTGACAGGAGCCTGTTTTCAAAGTTGAGCTTCAAAAAAGAAAAGAAAGCTTTTTGGATGAATTGACGACTCCAGTTGTGACTTATAGCTGCAGCAAATAAAACTAAGAATTACTTCATAATGTAAAGTGCTGACACGTTCTTCATTCTATTACAATAGAAATAATTAGACTAATTCAGACTTGTCCATGTAAACAATCAACAGTCTGCACTGAAGTCACAGCAATCATTTTGTTGTGGTCAGTGGCCACACGTTAATTATTGCGTGCTCACAACTTTATAATGCATGGTAATGCAATGATTATGTCGTGGCCACGCATTATTAAAGCATGGCCACACTATAATTTTTTTTCTCCAATGTCACCAGTGGGCTCCGTATTTTTGCAGTTACTAATGCTTATAAGTAAAATCAGGCATCTTGTGCTGAAATCACTTATAGCTACATTTTGTATTAAATTTTTTAGAAACATATTTAGTTTGTTGGTATTTTATGTGGTGATAGTGAACTGTCCTGAATGTGCATTATTAAATGACTGCAGAGCTGATACACAGGGAGATATGAACACTGGGCCTCATGCAAGAAGCGTTCGTACGCACAGATTTGTTCTTAAGTTGTGCGTACGAGTGATTTAGGAGAATTTGTGYCATTCACCAATGTTTTCGTTTTCTACGATTTTTTTCAGATACGAACAAAATTCACGAGTGGTCCAGACCTGTCGTATATTTTAC